TATTTTTAAAATAAAATTTTTTATCTTAATTGTGATTTTAGTGAAAGTTTACAGAAAAGTTACATTTTAATTCATTCATTCATTGTTGTGCATTTTTACCCCCTCCTCCCATTTCTCCTCCCCCAGTTCACTTTTTAAAAAAATATTCATTGTTGCACAATTACCACCCTCCCCTTAGTTCTCTTTGCAATGTACCTCTTTTTCTGGGCTGCTGTCATACATATAATGCCTAATCATATATTCCTTTTAAACAGTTCTTTCCTTGATCTGTTCCAGTGTAATGTTCATTACCTATTCACTTTTAACTCCTAAAACTGTGAGAAAATTTTGTTTTAAAAAGCCACCCAACTTGAGGGATTTGTATTACATCGGTACTAGCTAAAAAACTAATTTATGCCAAAAAGTTAGTTTGGGGAGAGTACTACTCTTAAGCACTACATAGCCATAAGGCTCCTGGAAACCAAGGTAGGTATGAAACAAGGCAAGGAAATGATACTTCAAAATGTTTTAGAGTCTCTGACCTAGGGAAGTCAGAGATCATTAGCCCAGGAAGATTATCTTCGGTCAAGTATAATTCCTCCTTTACAGAAACTAAAACTAGAGCCAAGAAAACCCAAGTGTCTTATCCAAAATTAGCATCTAGTTAGCAGCAGAAATAGGCAACAGAATATCCTATTCCCATTTAATGCCCTTTTTTGCTACACCAAGTATTTGGTTTGCTAAGACGGCTTGTTAAGCCACATATTGCTGAGCTAAACAATGGCGATGGCTATAGGACACCCTAATAGCAAACTCCAACCATCTTGGTAGCGACATATAACATGAGTTCTAAAATTCACGAGTCATTGGAAGCAGGAGTGGCATCCACTACCTAACAACACGCCTCTGGAAACTATGAACGTTGATAAATGTCAAGAGTTGTAGGGGGGCTTCAGGCCTTTTGTTCATAGGGTCGCTATGAGTCCTGATCAACTCAATGAAGGCAATCAACAACAACAACAATATCAAACAAAAACGTGAAAACTTTGTATATTACAGTCATGACCTTGGCTTCCTCCTCCTTTCTTTCCTACAATCCCATTTGTTCCACCTATCCTTTGGTTCTGAAATTTTCACCAGTAGTCTCTCATTAAAATAATCTTTAATTTTGCCCCATTTTATTTGAGTGAAAGTTTGCAAACCATATAGGGTTTTCATTCACTCAGTCATACACAAAATCTATTTCTGATGGGAGATTATTTGCTCTCAGAAAAGAAGCACCACTCTGATGTACTACATCCTTTTGGAAACACTTGAAGCTAAAGACTCAGCTTCCTGAGACTCTTCAGTAACAACTGAAAAAATTATAGTAAATAAATTTATCCAGGCACCTAAACATCAGAGGTAGACATGCAATAGCATCTATCTGCCAAAAGCACACCACTGCAATACTTTAAGGAACAACCTGTTAAGAATATCCAATGTGAGGGGCTGGTACACCCCAAACAGTGGAGATATTGTGGGTTTGACTGCAGATAAAAAAAAAGCTAATGTTGCTATAAAGCAAATCACACAAATTTTCTAGTTTCTCAATGCATATAAAAGTTTTACCAACACTACACTATAGCCTTAGTATACAATTCTTGTTTGTTGTTACGTGCCGTCAAGTCACCTGCAACTCATAGTGACCCTATGTACAACAGCCCTAAAGCTTGCTCTATCCTGTGCCAATTTTACTGTCTCTGATACACCTAACCCATTACCCAAGTCACAGAATCAATCTGTCTCATCGAGGATCTTCCTCTCCTGGGCTCTCCCTCCACCCTCCCAAGCATGACGTCCCTCTCTAAGGACTGGTCTCGCCTTGCAAATGTCCAAAGTATGCCAAAGACATACGTCAAAGAAGCAGCTTCAGAATCCTTCATTCCCATCCCAAAGAAAGGTGACCCAACAGAGTGTGGAAATTAGCAAACAATATCACTGATATCATATGCAAGCAAGATTCTGCTGAAGATTATCCAAAAAATGACTGGAACAGCACATCAACAGAGAACTCCCAGATGTGCAGGCTAGGTTTGGAAGAGGTCGTGGTACCAGGGATATTGTAGCTAATGTCAGATGGATCTTGGCTGAAAGTAGAGAGTACCAGAGGAATGTCTTTGTTTCATTGACTACACAAAGGCATTTGACTGTGTTGATCACAACAAATTGTGGCTGACTCTGAGAAGAATGGGAATCCCAGGACACTTGATTGTGCTTATGTGAAACTTATACTTGGACCAGGAGGCAGTCATCAGAACAGAGCAAGGAAACACTGCATGGGTCAAAATTGGGAAGTATACAATAGCATTATAGAAAATCATATTGCAAGTATTATCAGAGATACACAGTCAACACAAGCTATTGGAAAAACAGCACCAACAGAACTGGCTCAACATAGGGTTGCCACAAACCTTCAGTTTATACAAAACAGTATCTTCAAAATACAATAAATGAGTTATGCCTACACATCAGGGTCCTCTGAAGGGCTGGTTAGTAGGTCCCACAAGATTAAAATGGATCACCACAATGACATCTGCTTATCCATATCCAGTGATGTCTCAGTTTGGGCAGATTCCAACTCCTTCCACGCAATGAAATGTAATCCTGTCTATCTGAATTATGTCCTTTTTCTAGCATTATGTCTTTGTGAAGAAAAGATAAATAAACCCTAGAAAGATTACAAGTTCCTATCTCAGATATTTCAAGTAAGACATCTTTTGCACGACCACTACTCATTTATATTACAAAATTAGCAATTACAAAAAGACCTCTTTAAATTCAGAGAACTCAAACTCACTGCCATTGAGCCAGGTGTGATCCAAAGTGGCCCTCCGTTGGGTTCCCAAAGCTGTAAATCACAATGAGAGGAGACTGTTCATCTTTTTCTCACAGAACTACTGCTGAATTTAAATGGTCAGAGACACACAACCGTTGGGTTAGTAGCACAACTAGCTCTGGACAAGTATTTAATGGTTTAAAAAAGCTTGTTCCTGGGATAAATGTATCTGTCAACCTACACTAGCTTTTTAAGGTCACAGAGAATTAGTAAATGCTTAATTCAGTTAAAAATAGTACACAGATGGATAAGTCAAATTAATATCCACATCATTCCAGGGACAAGTGAGGTATGGGTAAATTGAGCCTATAATTTTCCAGGCTTCTTTTCCAACCTCAGGTGTCTATGGTCTCAAATACAAGAGAATAGAAAATAGAAGTCTAGTTCACTCATAGCCCACACAGAGGCAAAAATAGACATTAAAAAGAGGAAGAAAAGCTGTAATATGTGTCCATCCCAGAGCACACCTTCCGTTATTGTTAATCATGGTGAATGTCACACTTCCTGAGGCCACTAGAGTCATAAGTCCAGGCAGAGAGGAGCAGAATTTTCCTAATTTAAAAGGGGAAACTGGGCAAAAGAAAGAAGCTAGGCTGATGATAAATAGGGAAAAGGAATATTTCTCTATAAATAAACTGTACTACTTGACTAGGGAGTTCTAGTGACCTAGAATACAGGGTACTGCACAGCTAACACCAAGGCCATACCTCTTGGTGGTTCTAATCCACCAGTAGGTCCTGGAGAGAAATATGGGCAACCTCCTCCTGTGTGATTTATAGCCTCTGAAACCCAACGGAGGGTTAGCTACCAGCCAGCTCTAATTTAATATCAATGAGAGAAAGAGAGAGATTTATTAGTGTTCCCCAAAAGTTGTTTGGTTCCTAGAACCACAGCATGTAATCCTATTTGAAGTAAAGTCTTTATATATATAATCAATTAAGTTAATATGATATCATATTGGATCAGGAAAACAAATAAAACCAAACCCACTGCTATTGGGCCAATCCAAGTCACAATGACCCTGACCTGGGCTTCCCAGGCTGTAAATGTCAACAGGAACCCAATCCATGATGCTCTCTACACTGCCAGGGCTCCTTGACACCAGAGCTCCCTGTATTGGATTAGGGTAGCCTCTAATTCCAACATGGCCTTAGAAGAAGAGAAGAGAAGAGAACATATACACATAAGGAAGAAGAAGGTAAACAATGGAGCGACAAGTCTACCAGCCAAAGACACGAAAGCTTGTCATCAACTTCTGGAAACCAAAAGAGGTAAAAAAGAATTCTTCCCAAACGACCTCAGAGGGGCATGTCTCTCTTGGTTTTGAACTATGGCCTCCAGACGTGGAGGAGAAGAAATACATTTCTGTTGGTGTAACTCACCAGGTTGGTGGTACTTTGCTAAGGTAGCCCACAAAAACTAATATGCAAAAGGGAGGCCTTTTAAACAAAAACTTCAAGGTCAAGTATGGACTAAATGACAGAGGCATGCAAGCAAGAAGGACTGGCTGCTCACACTCAAAACAAGCCAAGTCTAAGCCTTCACTTTGCTTTTTTTTCCCCCTCCTGACTGTAAGATGTTTATTCTTTAAAAAAAATGGTTGCTTTTTCTCTCTTTTTTTGCCACTGAGGGGGAAAAAAGGAATTTAATTTGTGTGGTTTCTTCCTCGGGAGCTCTAAAGGAAGTTGTGCTCCTAACCCAAAGGCCACACTTCCCTAGAATTCTGAATACACCACTGTCTCTGAGGGAGAAAGACGGGCATTCTCTTCCCATGTGTTTCACAGCGTCTGAAACCCAATGGAGGGTCAGCTCTGAGTCAGTCTCAGCTTTGCTGGGAAATTTAATGGATGGTCAGCAATGAGTGAGTTACTGAGTGAGTGAATATGTCTTTCCAAGATGTGGAAAATTCTAAAAAGAAAACCCAATAGAAAGTATCCTCTTCATTCTCTAGCAAGGAGCCCTGATGGTATATCGTTTAACATTTGGCTGTTAACTGAAAGGTTAACCCACTAAGTGTTCCACGGAAGAAATCTGGGTGACCCCCTCCCATAAAGCTTTACAGCCTCGGAAACCCCACAGAGGGAATCAAGAGGACAGCAATGGCTTTAGCTTCACGCTCTTCTCCAGCAGTCAAGAGTCCTACCTTCAGAAACAGCCTTCTTCACGGCCGCCACGTAAATCTCAGGTTCATCGTCACAGGTGAGCTCCTGCCAGTGGGCCCAGTCGGGGAAGAAGCGGAGGAACTCCTCGCTGTCCTGCACCCCACACAGCAGCCTCACCATGCGCTGCGGAGGGTGAAAGGCTCGCTGCAGCAGGGGCAGCATGGACGGCTGGTAGAAGTGCTGCACCAGCTCTCCAGACAGCAGCACCATGATGCACCGGGTGCTGAGGAAGAGGCTCAAGTCCTCGGCCGAGAAGGAGACCCCCGGGCCTAATCTGTGAGTCAGCATCTTCTGGGTGCGGACCTGCCGACTGGACAGGAAGAGCTCCTGGAGGTAGTGACACCAGTCCTCGGCATCGGGGCTGTAGACAATGAGGATGTCGCATACCCTAAGCATCCCTGAAAGATAATGAAGTACAGAAGCCCGTTAATGTACTTTCTTTTTCTAGGGTTCCCCATGACCCCCAGGACATACCAGCCTGATGAGGAGGCTGGCACCCACAGTCTTGCAGTCTTTCACAGACTGCTTCCAGCATGCCTGTCAACCCTCTTCCCTCACAGTCTATATTCCAACCAAACTGGACTCGCCATCTTTGCTGAAAAACAGTGTTGCTCTTTCAGATCTCTGCAAACTGTTGCATCTATCTGCTGTGCTCCTTCCTCCTCCAACAAAGGATACTAACAGCAACCAGAACTTTTCCAAGTATATTGCCTACCCAACTTATTTAGTCCTTACAGCAACCCTAGTTAAGTAAACCTTACTATTATTAGTCTCATTTTACAGATGAGAAAGCTGACATCAATCCCTCAGTCATAAGACCAGAACTGAATAGCATCTGGCCACCATCAGGAGGAGGGTAAGCTCCCCAAAACCTACATCTCTGTCTACTAGTACTGAAATTTTTATCAAATATTTTATATAAGAATCCTGATCAAAAGGAAAAAATACAGAATGGAATTTTATATCTGCATGGAATCCAGGCTTTGAGCCACTGAGGTTGGATGAACCCCCAAAATCTTGAGATAATCTTTAAACCTTAAACCAAAAACATCCCCCTAAGGCTTCTTTAAACCAAACAGCAGCTTTGCTTAATTAGTAAAGATGTTTGCCTTGCACAGTATATTTTTAGAATTATCTATATGGGATCAAACTGTTAACAGCAACCCAAAAGATGAGATAGAAACTTAAGAGCAGTAAGGTTATGTTAATGGGGAGGAACAATTCAGAAAAGGAGAATGAAAAATTACCTATGACTGGAAGAAGGTAACTAATATCAACAAATTATACATGTAAAAATTTCTGCCTTCATATGTGTTCTGCTGTGTACTCTCAACAACAACAAAAATTTTTACAAAACCAAAAACTGAGCAGAGAATAGTAACCTACACAAGATTCACAGAGGCAGAGTAAGAATTTGAAGTTACATAGTTTGTTGAGGCTTTTAAAAATTTAATTATTTATAGATTTACTTTTGTTCTTTATCTTTTTTCTTCCCCCCCCCCTTCTTGTGTACCGTCAAGTAGGATTGGTCTAGGAGGAGATTGCCCTTCCTTCTGCAGCAGAGCATCTGGTGGATTCGAATAGTGTGCTTTCGGTATTGCAATGTAGCTTCTTGTAACTGGGCCACCAGAGCTCCTGAAGTTATATAGTCTGACTTCAGCACCTGACTCTTTCTCAGATACAGTGGGTATGAGCACAGGTCTGGAATCAGATGTACTAGCTCTTGGTCAAGTTACTTACGTCTTCTGAACCTCAGTTTGTAAGTGGAAATAGGACAGCAATACTTCTCAGTATTTCAAGGGAAATCGAGCTAAGCGCTGCTTGATGTACAGCAAAGCCTCCATAATTGGCAGCTGATATGATTATCCTCAATAAAATGGACTGACACTGTGACAATCACAACGGCCTTGGACATGAGAGACTATGAGGATGGTGAGGGCCGCGGCCAGGTTCAGATCTACTGTCATAGAGTTGCTAGGAGCTGTAGTTTACAGCACTCAACAACAACATAATCCTCAGATTTCTATAAACACCACATTTGTGTAGATGGTGACTGTGGTAAAATTAATGCTGTATCTGACACAATACTGGGGAGCTCTGGGGGCCTTGTGGTAAGAAATTGCACTGAAATCCCAAAGGCACATGGTTCAAGTCCAGCAGCTTTACAGGCAAAGGATGGGCAATCTCCTCTCAATTGATTTACTGACTCTGGGAACCCGATGGAGAATTAGCTAGGGGTCATTCCTAACTTGACAGTGCACAACACCACCACAACACCACTTAGACACAATATTCTCCCCTCCCCCTGGTCCATGACACAGGCTTTCTTCCTGCAGTAAATTACACATGCAGAAACAGAGTGAAAGACTCAGAACAGCACTGACTGAGAAGGGGTTTTTGGGGATAACTTGGCTCAAACTCCTCATCTACAATAAAAGAAACACTTCATCTGAGAAGATTAAGGATTTGCTTAAATTTACACTCAGCAAATCTGCAGTACATCCAGGACTGAAAATCAAATTCCCTAACTCCCATACAGCTCTCTTCCCAGTGCAGATGCTGACTCCCAACAGAAATTTATGAGTAATAAATGGTTATCCTCCAATGATCAAAGTTTAAAGACTGACTCTTAACCGTTACCACTGGTTTGGTGTCCCTCTCACCAATAATGCAACAAACTGTTCTGTCAGTGATTTGGATGAGTGCACACAGAGAAGCTTCCATGCCATAGGACAATGCACCAGGCTCCCTTCTTTAGCTCAGAGAAGAAAGTTGGTCAAATTTCATGAAACTTGGGAACCCTAGAAGGTTGTGGTTGTCATTACAATTAAACATGAGTCTGAGACAAGTCTGATTCCTGAGTGGTTCCTGGGGGAAAGTTCAGAGGCAAAACCAGGACCAGGGTAAGATGTGAAGGTTTTAAGCTCTGAAATTAGCACAAAAGGCATCCTTTCTCCTGTCACTGTTGTTGTTGTTAAGTGCCGTCGAGTCGCAGGCAACTCACAGCAACCCTGTGAAGGAGAGTCCTCAACGCCTGGGTGTCTTTCATCCTCTCTCCAGGTTCATAGTGTTTCCAGAGGCAAGCTATTACAGAAGTGGATGCCATTCCTCCTTCCCTCCTGCCACTATACTCAAAGTAAGAAAGCAACATATCAACTGTGAAACAGAAGTAAAGAAACCAGACAGTTTTTCTTTTTCCAGGATATTACAGAACTTTTTTTAGGGAAAAAAAAGTAGCAAATATAGAGGGTTGGTTGGCCTACTGGGCCAGCAGACACCAAAATTTAGGACTATGACCTAGAATGGAATCTTCCTGCAGAAAGAATTAACCCTGTCAGTACTTGATTTTGAATATCTAGCCTCCATTACTTCAAAAGAACAAAACTCTATTGTCTTCAGGGGCCAAGTTTGTGGCAACTTGTCACAGAACTCCTAGGACAGTACGACTACTAATACTAGGACTCCTCATCGTTGTCAAGTCCAAATCAACTCATAGCTCCATGGGGTTTTCAGAGGCTGTAAATCACACAGAAGGAGACTGGTCATCTTTCCCCCTTGGAGAGGCTGGTAGATTCACACTACCAGAGAGGTGCCACTTTGCAGCAGCACAACTACCTATAGACAACTCCTTGAGGGCTCCCCACGAAGAAAGATAGCAATTATTTTTGTTAAGCCGGACTTCCATTCCTATAGCCTCTGCTCTGATACACCCCTAGCCCAGAGCTACAGGGCTTACAGCAAGAGCAAGCTGATCAGCCTGGGAATAATTTTAAACAGAAGGTATGTACACTTTCAAAGAAGCTGGCATTAGAAGGAGAAAAAATAGCAATTTATGAACTTCCATGGACATTTTTAACTCAATAGAGAATTCACTATCGAATATGGCTTATCTCCTCAATTAGGGCTACAACAGTACCATTTCAGAAATGCTTATCCTGATCCCAACGTTTAAGCAGATTAAGGACAAAATTTCCAAGCACCTGTGTTGCAGCCTTCCCTGAAATAGTATTTTTGCTGATTGGATTTTTCCTCTGCTTAGAATGTAAATTTTTTTTGTACCTCAATGGAAAAATAATTTTAAGATTATAAAAGGCATAAAATTACCAAACCTAGACAACTATTGAGCTCATGCTAAGAAAAGCAAAGTTAAAGTCTAAGTATATAATTACCTTCTGTCTGTCTCTCCTTTCTACACAGTTTACCATCAGAAGCAAATGTTCTTTAAAATGTAAAATGTTATTAAAAGAGTGCTCAACAGAACGTGATCCATCAGGTAGGAAATGTACAAGCATCTTAAGCTGCCTTATAATATTAAGGATGCCATGTTTGTGGCACTATACTCAGAATTCAGTTAAAAGTATAAAAGTAAGTAGGAATGAGTTGCTAGTTCTGGGGCCTTGAGGAAGTCTTGGAGCACATGAAGATCAACATAGCTCACAAAGTCAATGTTCCACATCTTACTTTAAAGAGTAGCAACTGAGGTCTTAAAAGTTTGTGAGCAGTTATTTATGCTGCAAGTAAAAAAACCAATAGTTTAAAAAAACCCAAAAAACAAAACAAACAACAAAACCCAATTGGTCCAAAGGATGAATGGATCAAGCAAACTCTAAGATCAGAAGTATGTGGTGCCTGGTCACCACAGCTGGCCACTCTAAAGGCACTCACAGTAGAAAGTCTTGGACAAAAACGGAGGGAAATTGTAGAGAAAAACAACAACATAAAAACAAATCAGGCTAACTGGTCCAAAAGAGACTAGTCCCACCTGGGACTATGGTCTTTAGCGACCCCTCTTAGCTCAACTTTTAGCCAAACAATGTTGTTGTTACTGTTGCTAAGTGCCGCTGAGTTGCAGAGGACTCACAGTGACCGTATGAATGAAAGACCTGAACATTTGTATAACTTTCATCATTTCACTAAGTTCATAGAGTTGTTGGAGGCAAGTTATTTCGGAAGTGGATGCCACTCCTGCTTCCACGCCTGTTTTAATTGAGGAGCTCCACCAAACACTGTCCACCATGAGTAACCATTATCACATTTGACACATCAGTGTCACAGTGAACCAAACAAGAGATAGGCCTATTTGGTGAACACCAAGAAGACACTCACTCCTTAGAAGAACCATCCATAGGTGGTTAAAAGAACAACATTTGTCCAAGGAAAAAGCCCCAAAGCCAGGAAAGTGTAGGATAGAAGAATTAATGGAAATGAGAAGCACAGAGAAGAAGTTGGGTAGCATGGATACATTACAGATATTTTAATTACTGTTCTAAAACAAAATGTGTATGGATGATTAAATGAAAAACCAATATAATCTGTAAACTTTGATGTGGATAAAATTTTTTTTCAAATCCTAAGTACAAGTTCTAAACTCATTTCGGTTGAGCTGAATCAACTCACAGCTAAC